TTTGTTTTTACACTGTGGGCATGTCTACATGAGATGCATTAATGTGCCTTAGCCCAATTTACTGTGCAGTATGGGTGCATATCTACATGTGCGTGCCTTTACTGCTCAATAAAAAATGGCTAATTGTCACTAAATTTGATACGTGCAAATGCAGGTATCAAATTTAGTTGTGATTAGTTAATGTGCAGTAATGCAGATGTATAAATGACCTGGCACTAACTTTAGTTTTTGGGTCTGCCCTGCCACTGGGGGACCAGCCTGAGCCTAGCCCCAAGGTTCCTGGTTGGGACCTCTCTTAGGCTAGGGCTGGGCTGCTCTCATAGAAACCTACAGCCACTATATGCCTTGGGGCACACCACAGAGGACCACTGCAGGTCTTGTGTGTCCCACTGGCCAGATACAGGCTGGCTCTGCCTGGCCTGTCCCCTCTCCAGAGCTGCTGCTTGGCGAGTGTTGCAAAGGGCTGCAGCCTGTTGCACCCCTTGCCCAGCCCTGATATCCCTCCAGGGCTGCTGGCTGGCTGTTTCTGGCAGCAGGGCTAGCACCTGCTCCCTGATGCTGCTGACCCCCCAACAGAGCCTCCTGTCTTTGCATACACTGTGGTGCACGGCTTCTTTGCTGCGTGGCTCCCAGTCCTTGACCATGCCCTGCGCTGGGCCCAGAGAGCTGATGCAGGACATAATGTCCTTACCATCCTCCTCATCAAGGCCTTGCCCTGCCCACATGTGCACTCCTGTGACAACTGCCTGGGCCCCCAACTGGACCCAGGAAGAAATTGGCAACCTCATGACACTTTGGGGCAGTGCCAATATGCTGAGGCAGTTCACCCAGGGTTGGTGCTCAAACGCCTACATTTATGAGGCCCTGTTGGATGGCATGCAGGAGCAAGGGCACTCCTGGTTGGAGCAGCAATGCTGAATTAAGGTCAAGGCCTAGTGGGCACAGTAGATGGCTATGACCAACTACAATCATCAGTTTGGTTGCGCCCTCAAGACCAGGGCCTTTATCCAGGAGTTGACCCATATTTTGGCGCCCCGGGACCCAGGCCACACCCCTGCAAGTGTCACCAGCACAGGCAGGCTGCCTATGCCCTGCTCTCCCCTGACCTCTCTGGTGACACATTACCAGAGGAGAAACTTTGGGCCTCCAGCACCTTGCTCCACCTCCTCCCCAGCTGCTGTATCCACTGGCAGCTCGGGAAGCCCTGGCCAGCAGCTGCTTTACTTTTGGCACAGCCCTGCCATAAGGAGCAACGAGCAATGTCACTGCCAGCCAACAGCAGTGCCAGCTTCTCCTGGGGGAGGCCCTGGCCAGGTTCCAGCCCACCATGGGCTACAGACACTGGGCACAACTGTTTGCCCTTGCTGATGGGGAGCCCGTGCCAAAATGCCTGCCTCGCCAGCCCTGGACATGTAGTAAGTCCTGCACTGGAGGGGACCCTCCCAGTCCCTGCCTCTGCCCCTTTCCGTGGTCCTGGTTCTGGCCCCTGCCTCTGGGCCTGGCCCCTGGCCCCACTTTATAAGTTCCACCCACTGTCCTGCAGTAGGCCCCCACCTGGGTCTGGGAGAATGTCCTCCAGCACTTTCTGCCCACCAGAACCCCTGGCCTGGCCACTGCCCTGGACTTGCTGCCACCTGCCTGGGCCTGGCCCCACCACTCTTCCCCATAGTATGCACCTGAGAACCTGGACATGCCTCACAGTGACCCTGGGACTACACTGGGGCAGCTGGAGGGGGAGCTGCCTGCCCCTGGGGAGTGCTGTCTCAGGTGGCCACAGCATGAGGCCACCCCTGCTGGGGTCACTGCAGCCCCCAGGCTCAAAGCTGGGGTGCTGGGTACCTGCCCCTGGGCTCTGCCCTCTAGGCCACCTTCATGGCTCCCTACTCTGGGACAGGACAACAGAGACCTTGTAAATAGTTTTGATATTGTAAGCATGTTTTTATTAGTCATAGAGTCAATGGACCAGAAGGGATCTGTAAGATCATCAAGTCCGGTTCCTTGCCATAGGCAGGAGGTTAAAGAGCTCAAACTATCTCAACAAGGTGCTTATCTATCCTCCTCTTGAGCACCTCCAAGGATGACGACTATACCACCTCTGCCAGGAGTGTTTTCCAGGTTCTAGTTACCTTTATGGAGAAGAAGTTCTTCCTTATGTCCAGCCTAAATCTTCCCTCTCATAGTTTGTGCCCATTGGTCCTCATCCTCCCAAGGGGTGCCTTCCTGAACAGTTGCTCTTCCAGATCCTGGTGTTCCCCCTGACATATTTGTAGGCGGCTATCAGGTCACCTTGCAGCTTCCTCTTACACAGACTGAGCAACCCCAGATCCGAAAGTCTCTCCTTATAGGGTTTATCCTCCAGTCCCCTAATCATGTGGGTGGCCCTTCTCTTTACCCTCTCAAATTTATCCGCATCCTTCTTGAAGTGTGGCATGCAAAACTGGGCACAATACTCCAGTTGTGGCCTCACCAACGCTGAGAAGCACCTCCTTGGATTGTTGGCAACACATTGGCTGATGCACACCAGAGTTCTATTTGCTCTGCTGGTGGCTTCATCGCACTATTGGCTCATATTCACCTGCTGGTCAATTGTGACCCTCAGGTCCCATTCAGATGCCATGCCACCAGTAGGCTAGTGCCTATCTTATAGTTGTGGTGAAGGTTCTTCCAACCCAGATGAAGGACCTGGCACTTTTCCCTGTTGAACCTCATCTGATTCTGATCAGCCCAGAGAACCAGTCTGTCAAAGTCATCCTAGATCTTTACCATATCCTTTGGCATGCCCACATTTCCCCACAGCTTGGTATCATTTGCAAACTTAATCATAGAGCATTCTACCCCCTCATCCAAGTTGTTAATAAATATGTTAAAAAGCACGGGTCCAACCACTGATCCCTGTGAGACACCACTGGAGACAGTCCTCCAGGATGAGGCCATCCCATCAATTACAACTCTCTAGTATTGGCCTCTAAGCCAGTTATCCACCTACCTCACTGTAGGCTGGTCTAGGCCAGTACCTTCCAGTTTGACTGAGAGAATTTCATGGGAGACAGAATCAAAGGGCTTACTGAAATCTAAGTAAATGATGTCTACGTCATGACCCTTGTCCAGCTAGTTAGTTACATGGTCATAAAAGGACACCAGGTTTGTCAGGCATGATCTACCCTCCACAAAGCCATGCCGGTTGTTTCTTAATACCCTGTCAGTTACTAGCTTGTGATTGATGGCCTCTTTAACAATTTTTTCAAAAGTTTTTCAAAGGACCAAAGTCAAATTGACTGTTTTGTAGTTTGCAGGGTTATCCCTCCTCCCTTTCTTAAAGATGGGAACCATGTTGGCCCTCTTCCAGTTGTCCAGAACCAATTCCAATTCCATGTCTTTTTGAATATCTTTGTCAAGGTCCCTGCTATGAGTTCAGTCAGTCCTTTCAGGACTCTTGGATGTAGGTCATCTGGCCCAGCGGACTTGAAAACATCCAATTGTTCTAAGAGGACCCTCACCTGTTTGGGACTGATTTCATGTTGTCTATAGGGTTCCCCATGTTCTCTGGGCCTCTGGACAGGTGCACAATACGGCAGTGTGAAGCTTCAGTCCCTGATTCAATTCGGCAGAGATTCGGCCCAATTTGGTGGCTGAATCTCCAAATCTGAATCAAATCAGAGGACACTTTAATTTCTCTGAATTGAATTGGAACCCTCTGAATTGATTCAGTGATTCAGACATAGACACAGCTTTAAATGTTTTTTCTACATACCTCTAGGTACCAGGGGGCTCATGAATGCTGCAATGTTGGTGTGCATGGAGCGTCCCACAGAAGTGTGTGGGGCTCCCCAGCATGCTCAGCAGCAAACCCAGAAGTGGACCAGAAGCATTATGGTCTAATTCCGGGTCTGCTGGGGAGCACACTGGGGGGCCCCTCTGTCCCCCCAGCTCAGCGACTGGTGCCTCCTGGGTCTGGAGGGGGGGCACCTAGGGTTCCCCTGTGGCCAATCGCTGAGCCAAGGAGGCATGAGGGGGCCCCCTAGCACACTCCCTGGCGGACCCGGAAGTGGACTGGAAGTACTTCTGATCCACTTCTAGGCTTACCACCGAGCACATGGAGAGCCCCCTGCACTCCTGTGGGATGCTCCATGCACCCCAGCATTGCAGTGATCATGAGCCATGCTGGTACCTCAAGGTACGCAGAAATTTTTTTTAACGCTGTGTTTATGTCCAAATCACTGATTCTCCGAATCAGCATCACATTTTCAGATTTGGCCAAATTGAATTGCGGACAGTGATCTGAATCAACAAATTGAATCACTGTTCCTGATTCAGGCCAAATCCAAACCTGAATCTAATATGGCCCACTTTGCACACCTCTAGTGCACAGCTCCTATTAGCCTTCTGGAATACCAATGTGAAGCATTCATTTAGGAACTCTGCCTTTTCATGGGGATCAACTGTGAGCTGTCCTTCTGTATTCAGTAGAGGTCCCACAGTGGAGCTTGATTTTTTTTTTTTCTTGCTCCCCATGTACCTGTAGAAGGACTTTTTGTTGTCCTTTATTTCAGATACCAGCTTGATCTCCATGCCCACTTTGGCTTTCCATATCTCATACCTGCAGACCCTGGTTATATAAGTGAACTCTTCTCTGGCTGCTGAACCTTTTTCCCATTGTTTATATGAGTCTTTTTCTTTTTCAAAAGTTCTGTAATGTCCCTGTTGAGCCAAACGGGTCTCTTGGCTCCTTTCCCGCTCTTTGATTGCGTGGGAATGGCTTCTTTTTGGGCAGTGAGAATGGCTCCTTTGAAGAGGCACCATTGCTCCTGAACTCCTAAATCATCCAGTCACTGGTCACAGAGGGCCTTTCTAACTAGCCTCCTGAGCTTGTCAAAGTCTACCCTTCTGAACTTTAGGAATTCTGTTCTACTAATTGGGATCCTAGCCTTGCGATGGATGGTGAACCTAATCAGATCGTGATCACTTTCACCCAGAGTACCTCCAATTTTCAGGTCCCCTACCATATCCTCCCCTTTGGTAAGCACTAAGTCCAAAGTGGCTTTACCTCTAGTCAGTCCTTTGACAACCTGTGACAGGAACAGGTCATTGATTGCTGCCAAGAAATTGGCTGACTTGCTGGAGCCGGCCAAATGGTCCTCACAACAGATATCAGGGTATTTGAAGTCACCCATGTCAATCAGGTCTTTAGTTCTGGCTGCCTCAGTCAATTCCCTGGAGAATACCTGATTGTTCTCCTCTTCTTGGGAGGGAGGTCTGTAGTAGACTCCCACCATCAGGTCTCCCTTGGTGGGGGTGGCTGTTCCCATCCTATTTGCAGTGCAAAGGACATGGATACCCCATCCATCAATATTCTGAGGGCTGCATAGCAATTGTGCAGGGCTATTGGTGGAGCAACTGATGTGCCTCATGGCTTTGGGCCTGAAGTGACAAACTTCCACCCACTGTCAGCTGGGCCATCTTGCTCAAGCCTGTTCTTCTGCCTGGTTTCCATGATGTCCTTCTCCAGATGCAGGGACCGGCAGTATGCGTTGGTCTCTGCCTCGTGTTCTCTGATAACACGCAGCCTGTCCACCTCCTCCTGGAGCTCCCTCACCCGGCCCTCCAGAGTCTCCATCAGTGAGCACATCTGACAAGTGGGTGTGCCAGTGCCCCAGCTCCCAGTCTCCAGCAGATATGACAGGCCTTGCAGCCTGGAGTCCATGGCTGTGTCTGTGTGGAGGCTAGGACCATAGGCTCTTTTTGGGTAAAGACCTCCATGGTATCAAGGGTGGGTGGTCCATCCAGACCTGGAAGCTTAGGGGCAGACCTGGGTCACACATCCTCCTAGGTGGTTGTTTAGGTAGTAGACCAGGTGGGTGTGTAGGATTACCCCCACATAGTCCCCACTGCTGCTGTTGCTGTGGCTTAGCAGACAGGCTAAAATAGCTGTCTGCAGTAGGATCCCCTGGTGTTCCAGGCTCCCAAGCTGCCGGGGTTTCCTGGGGTCCCTGGAACTCACCCTGGATGGTGGAGGGTTGGTCCCTCATCCCCTTTACCTGGGCTTTGGTGTTGGAAGACTATCCTATGGCATGTGGGGCTTCAGCTGCCTGGGGGTGCAAGAGACCCAGAGTGTGCTGTGTGTCACCACCAGGGGCACGTAGAGGTGAGAGTGCCCTCAGATAGCCCCTCCCATTCATCCTCCTGTGCAAACTCCATGCGCAAACTTTTGTGCCGGGCCCAGAGTGTGCCTGTTTGTGCAGCTCTGGTAGTGCCGCTCCCTAAGGGGCTGGGCCAAGTAGGAGCTGTGGGAGGATGTGACCCTCCTTGGCTCCACTCAGTTGCTCTATCTAGTGCCCACCCACTGTGGGCCCCACTTACCTCCCAGCTCCATGCTGGGGGTCAGGTCAGGGGTCCGCCAGAGGGTCCTCCAGGACCCTAGCTCACGGGAGCATGACAGCTTTGCACCCGTGTGTTTCTCACTGGAGCTGGGCCCAAACTTATTGTTGGTGGGTGAGGGGAGAGGGGGATCTGTTTGTTGAGGGGGGAGGGATGGGAGTGGGTGCTGTTAGGAAAATAAAGCTTTTTTGTTTCAACCATATGCCTGGTCTGAGAGTGATTCTGGGGGTGGGCAGGGGGTAGGTGGTGTGTGGGTGGCAGGGCAGGTGGACCAGAGTGAGGAGTGAAGTAGGAGGGAGATGGCCAGGACCTCCCACAGCCAGTGCCCTGGTCCCATGGTGGGTACATGGCTTTCCTGGGGCCTGGGTTGGGGTGGAAAGGATCTGCAAGGGCCAGAACCATGGCCAACAGGAGCACAGGGCACTGGTTGTCACTGCCAGGGGCGGAGCTGGAGCAGTGGGGTGCTAGGCATTACTGGCAGGGGCAGGGGCTGGAGCAGACATGGTGCAGGGAGGCAGGGTGGGCAAGGAGGGGGCTGCTTTGCGTGCTGCCTCTGTGCTGGGTACACAGCTCCTGGGCAGGGAAGGGTCTGGCCAGGGATCAGAGGGCAGGACTGTGTTTTCAAGATGGCTGCTAAATGCTGGCAGCTGGGCCTAGCTTCAACATGGTTGCCAAGTGCTGGCATCCATGTGGCTGGAGGCTGGAGCTCCCCCTGGTGGCCAAACGGGCACATGGCAGGGCTGGAGGGACTTGGCATTAGATTTAGTGCCAATTCTTTGTACATGTAGATACCTGCCAAAAATTGCTTACTGTACATTAGCTTAATGTGCAGTAAATTTAGTCCTGATTAATTGCACATGCAGATGCACCGTCTATATAAAATAGTCTATATACTGTCTGCAGAGAAGTGCAACAGCTAACGTTATCCTCTTTTCCTGTTTTGAGGGATTTTAAGCCATGTCATACTTTTTTTTTTTGCTCTTCCTACAAATTTCTTGTCACTATCTACATCCACCCATTTTAACTATCTTGTCCTTGCCTTTAAGTTTTGTGTACCTCTACCATCTCTGCATCTCTTTACAAGACCTATCTTCTCACTGTCTTTGCACCACGAATGGACAGTTTCCTCACCATCTTAGGTCCTGGTTCTGTGAACTGCTCTCCATGGATAGAATCCTGGGCTCACAAAGACTTCTACTGACTGCAATAATGTGCTCTGCCCGTGTTGGGTCCTGCCTACATGAAACTAGTTGCTAAACTGGGCCTTAGTTTAGTTCTTATTCTCTCACACTCATGTGATGACTTCCCCCTTTCTTGATTCAGATCTATCCCACAAGCTCTAGCTCCATTGGTTTTTAATTCCTTCTGCTTGCTGTGGGAAAGAAGCATAGAAACTGGCCCATGTGGCATTTGCTTTCACCTCCTATGTAGACTGTGGTGGAGCTCTGGTTGTTTTTGTCATCACTTCCATGTGAAATATGATATCGCTCACCTGGACTGGCTTATATTATGTAAGACATGACATGATGTACAAAATTGTTTCAATACTTATCTGGCTTTTCTCCAATGTTAACTGCCTTCATTTTAAATGATTATTTTTAATGAACATTTTTTTCAAGCCTGTTGTTTTAGTGGGAGTTACCGTGTGGAACTGTTTAAAATAGTTATCCAAGTTTTTTAATGACCGAGTAGTGGACAGTCTTTGAAGAAATCATTTACTTGTTAGATTGGGAATGTGGCTTCTTCCCCCCGCAACCAAATGAGCTGCTACTAGCAAGAGAATTTGCTTTACAACAGTGTAAATTTGCCCGTGCCAAACTCAATGTTTCCTTGACTGGACTACTGCCAACACCCATGCTTGCTTTTTTTAAAGCTAGGCTGGGTGTCTACACTGAAGTCTGCAGGATGGCCAATACCCTTTTGTGACTAGAATCAAAGTTGCTCCATAGAAATAAGACTTTGGTGTTTGTGATGCATGAAAGACGAGATTATCTATAGTCTGTAACCATCTCTTTTCACATGACTTCAGCTAGGCGATTATCTAGCCTTCTTTTGAGGACCCCCAATGTAGGAGCGAGCACCACTTCCCTTGGAAGTTGGTTCCAGATCCTAGCCGCCCTAACTGTGAAGTAGTGCTTCCTGATGTCTAGTCTGAATCTACTCTCAATCAACTTGTGGCCATTATTCCTAGTTACTCCAGGTAGTGCTTAGGGGAACGAGGCTTCTCCCATTGCCCTCTGGTCCCCCCCGGTAAGTTTATAGATGTCCACCAGATCCCCTCTCAGCCTTCTCTTGTGGAGGCTGAACAGGTTCAGGTCCCATAGCCTCTCCTCCTAGGGCCTGCCCTGCTGCCCCCTGATCATGTGAGTGGCCCTCCTCTGGACCCTCTCCATGTTGTCCACGTCCCTCTTGAAGTGCGGCACCCAGAACTGGACGCAGTACTCCAGCTGCAGCCTGGCCAGTGTCACACAGAGGGGGAGGATCACCTCCTTGGCCTTGCTTGTGATGCATCTGTGGATGCATGACAAGGTGTGGTTGGCCTTCCTGACTGCATCCCCAAACTGCTGGCCCATGTTCATCTTGGCATCAGTGATGACTCCAAGATCCCTTTCTGCCTCTGTGCTGATGACAAGGGAGTTCCCGAGCCTGTAGGTATGGTGCTGGTTCTTCCTCCCCAGGTGCAGTACCTTGCACTTGTCAGTACCGAATCCCATCCTGTTCTCATCTGCCCACCCCTGTAACCTGTCCAGATCTTGTTGTAGCCTGTCCCTCCCTTCTAGCATGCCTACCTCTCCCCACATCTTAGTATCATCCATGAATTTGAACAAGGTGCTTTTAAAGTAGCTGATAAAGATGGTGAACAGTAGAGGCCCAAGGACAGACCCCTGGGGGACCCCACTGCCCACATCCCTCCAGGTTGAAAATGACCCATCCACCACCTCTCTCTGGGTGCAGCCCAAGTTACTGTGTTCCTTTCTAATAGGGAGCTATCTTGCAAGAAATGTATCCCTGCCTCTGAAATTTCCATACAATTAATTAATTTTAGGGAATTATGTATGCAAGCTGGAGTACTTGCATTTCTAATGACCAGATTTAGTACTAGATTGGAAAGAGAAAACTGAAAAAGAACAGGGAATTGTAAAAGGAAAACCTACTTGGAAGCAGAGAAATCTACAGTTTCAACTGCTCTTTGCTTCTTAGCATTATACCTAGAAACTGTGGTATTAGCCTGCACTGAACATTAAGCAAGTGCTTAAGTCCTTTGTTGAACTGGAGCCATTGTTACACTGAGAGAACCCAAGGTACATGTGTACGGTCTCCATGGTGATCCTGAGATCATTTCTGAGACAAACCCTATCTATTCATTCCTGGGTTGCATGTGCCATTTGTCAAAAACTGTTGTGTAATCACTTTTTGGCACATACCCAGAGATGCTCCCAGGATCTTGGTCTCTGTACTCCTGCATGTGATAGTGGGTCTGATGGCAAACTGTACAACACTTTCTCTGGAAACTGGAGGGGGGGGGGGAACATGCAGAAAGGGACTCCCAGGGCAAACGTTTTTTTCTGGAGTGGTTTCATCTCAAGTTCACCACAGAGACAGTATAGATGTACAGCTTTTTTGAAGCAATGTTCCATTTTTATATGTAGGAGTTTAAATGATTCTGGAATACCCCTTGTAAATTTGAAGAAGGATTTCAGGCTAGCTAAAGAAAAAAGAAATACAATTAGGCAAAGCTAGTCATGCATATGTAAGCCACTGGCAGCAGATTACATGCTGCCAAACTCTGACTTTG